TCTATCTATCTATCTATCTATCTATCTATCTATCTATCTATCTATCTCAAGAGAAAGAGACAAAAACATTATATTGCATAACAAGTCAAAAATGAACAATGTACATAAAATAATAAGTTAAGTCAGTAAACCAGGAAAAGACTTACAGCAGGTGAATCTTGATTTATTTATGCATAAATGATACTATCGAAAATTAGTTGTCTATCATTATCTATTTTGAGCCCCAACAAAGGAAGATCAATTAAGAGGGAGCCTTGATGTTAATTGTGAATCCTCATATGCCATGGAAAAATTCATCTCTTTTATTCTTAATGACAAACTAGATAAGAACCTTGGTTCATGTGGATAGTTTCAAATATTGCAGCAAAATGGCTGATATAAAAATGAAAATGGCTGAAAGCAAGATAATGAGAATGGGCATGAGGGAGAAGGACAGAGTCCTAGTTGAGAATAACGAGAATATCGAATATGTTGTTTTGAGTTTTTAATTGTGATTTTCAGTACTGCTTCTGAAGAGTATAGACATGGCTTTTCCTTCTAAGCCTTCCATGAGCCAGTTTCTCTCTTCACAGTCCAAAATACCCAAAAGTTATTCAATAATTATTCAAATGAAATGATATTTGAATGCTAATTCAATCATATTGCCATAGTGCGAGTGTTTTCCCATCTTAATATGTTTTCTTTGGTTTGAGAAAGGCAACGTGTTAAATGTATTAGAGCCTAGCTGGGACTGTAATACATTTATGATAGTCATAGGCTGCATGGAAGAATTCAATAGTAATTAAAGTGGTGCTTGGCTTTGCTCTTCCCATTAGAGATTGCGAGCTTTTGCTGGAGTTGAACTTTATTGTATTTTTATTAGTAATTTGGTATTTGTGCCTGGCCTTTAATAAGTTAGTTCACATGCAACATTGATTGGCTGTCATCTTGATCATTACTCATCAGGAAAGACAGATAAGATGTCCCATACATTACTAACAGAATGTCAGGGAACGAGGACTTGCCAGGGGAAAGTTAAACAAAACAGCATTGGTTTTTCACTGGAAGTATTTTGTAGACTTTGTATGTTACTACAAAACACAGCAAAATTGTACTGCTTAAATAAGGTGTATGTCTCTAAAATGTGAAGGACATCATTAAACAGAGCTGTATATATACTATGTACAGTTATCTTTTGTGCTCTCCTTTTTCCACAATAACTGCATTAAACCTTTCTTTCCCTTTGGAGTGGAATCAGATATGAACCCCAGGGAAGTGATGATCAGTTTTCTGTGTCATGTGATATTAATTTCATTCTGATTTGGCTTGTTATATTCAGTCTTGTTTTTCTACAGGTCTCTTGAATTTGTTTTTCTTTTTTTCTTCCTTTTTTTTCTATTCATACAAAGCACATTGAATACATGCACTTTTTTCAGCCTTCTAAGTTCTGGAGTGGTATAAAGTTTACTCATTGTGGTTGCAATTATCTTTGCAGACATATTAGGATGCTACTGATGACAACATCTAAACTACATTAATGAGAGGCTAATGAAATTAATTTTAGTAGCGTAGCATTCTATGCAATTTATTTAACTAGTAATACCATTACTAGTATTTTAGAACATCAAACATTTTTAATGTTTTAGAACATCAAACATTTTTTAGAACATCAAACATTTTTAAGAGTCTGTCTTTTGCCCAATATTACTTGAATAACAGAAAATGAATTAAGCATAAGTTACTGGAATGCTTTTTACTTTATCATTGCAAATAATGTATGTAATATAATACAAGCTTCTTTTGCTTGTGATACTCATGTTTTATTCTAAACTTACATGTCAACTAAATTGTTAAAATAATCATTAATAATTTATCAGGTAGGCATACTTTTGGTAATAATGGCTTATTACTATTTTAAGTTACACACACACACACATACACACACACACACACACACATATATATATATATATATATATACACATACATACATACATACATACATATACATAGTACTACAGGTAAAACTATAATAGCTTTAGCAATAAGACAATGTAAATACTGAAAATATAACTATTATTTTCTGCTACAAAATATGTGGGTTTTTTTGACAAACTTTTCAGAGTAAAGCTGACTTTACAATTAGTAAAGGTTAACAGTAAGTCCATTCTATACTGAAATTAGGTCATTATTTTATTATGTTCTAAACATATTTTTTTCTTTACTGTAATAATGCAGGACTCAAAAATAAATAAACCATGCAAAGAAACTTAAGCTTTCTCTCGAATAAAATTTTTCATATTCAATAAGTGTATTTTAGGCCAGCAATAAGCAAGATAAATCTGCTTGAGAAAAGATACTCTAACATATGAAATGCTCAATATTAAACTGAAGGAACAAAAGATTTAATGGTGGAAGTCTAAAATCCATTTTCAAATTCATTTTCAGTAAGATTGCCAGTACCAGTACTGAAACATAATATTCCAGCAATGTTAGCTTTTTCAGTAAATTTTATAAAAGATATGTGACTCAGAATGAATTGAACGTGCAGAATTGTAAGACTAAAATAAAGAACCTGGAAAGATGAAGCTTATTTGAAATAAGTCTGTTTCTATGACCACACGGAGTGGGATGCAAAAATGTAAAGGAAAAGAGAAAAAAGCCATTTGGTTTCTTGTGAGAGTCTTGCTGACAAACTATGTCCTCTGTCTAGAAAATAAGTCAAAGCGTAGCTATGTTAACTGAACATAATAGACCAGAGGGAAGTGAGTGGCTCTCTTATATTGCTCTGATGTCTTCATAGATAAATTTGTAAACAGTCTGATTGATTGGATTTGAAAACCTAAAAGCATTAAATGCAACAAGGGGAGCTGGTTTCAGGCTTTAGAGCATTAGAACACTTTCTTCAAGTGGAAACTGTGATCTCCGTAAACAGAATTGAAATGGCGATGTGTTAGAAGAACGTTTCTTCGATACAGATCGGCAAACATTATACATTTAATAAATAGGAATAGCAATTTATTCTATATGATTTTCTTATAGAGATGACTTGTTATTTGCAACTCACTGAAACATGTCTGCTGTTCGCAGTAGTATATAAGATGTTTAGAGACAGTCATCCCTTCCAAACTGTCCATGGCTTCTGAAGCAGGGCTTTCAGCTGTAAGCTAATTGAAACAGAAGGACTGTTTCTATGACCACACGGAGTGGGATGCAAAAATGTAAATGAAAAGAGAAAAAAGCCATTTGGTTTCAAGTAGCCTCAGTTAGGCAAAACAAGTGGCCATGAGTACAAAAACAAAGGAGCCAAGGGTAAAACTAACTCAGTGGGGAACATTTGGTTTGTGGATACATGATTTTAGAGATCCAGGAGACTGAACAGGTAGACATGACCTTATTCCAAGCTCCCTAGGACTGATAAGCTATGTAACCTATACTTTCCTTTCTCTCCTTGCATATGGACAGTATTTTTCTCTTTAATTCTTTTGGAAACTGAGTTCATTAGTACCTACCCCTGGACTTGCACATATCTAACTTAATATATTTCCATTGCTCCTGGCCAACAGAGCATTGTGAGTCCACAAACTGTTTGAGATCTCCAGGTATTCATTCCAAAATAGTCTCTGTTGCAGTTCATTGTATCCTCTGATTCTACTATGCAGAGTCGTCTCTCTACATCCACTCCTCTTTTTTTATTGGATATTTTATTTATTTACATTTCAAATGTTATCTCTCTTCCCATTTTCCGATTTCCCCTCCACAAACTACCAATCTCATCTCCTTTCCTCCCTGCTTCTATGAGAGAGCTCCCTTTCCCACCCACCCACTCCAGCCTCACTGCCCTAGCATTCACCAACATTGGAGCATCAAGTCTCCACACCACCAAGGATCTCTCCTCCCATTCATGCCAGAGAAGGCCACCCTCTACTACATAAGCAGTTGGAGTCATGGGTCCCTCCATGTGTACTTTTTGGTTGGTGTTTTAGTCCCTCGGAGCTCTGGCATGGGAGTGGGAGTCCTGGTTAGGTTGATATTGTTGTTCCTATGGGGTCGCAAACCCCTTAAGCTTCCTCAGTCCTTTCTCTAACTCCTTGGGAGCCCCAGGCTCAGTCCGATGGTTGGCTAGGTGCATGCTCATCTGTATTGGTCAGGCTCTTGTTTTCCTCATATATCTCCCAACTTGTTCCCTTCCTTTTACAAAGTCTCTTCCCTAGTCCAGTCAGTAAATCTTCTATTGCTGAGAAGAGGCACTATGATCCCAGCACCTCTTATGAAAGAACACATTTAATTGAGGATTGTTTACAAATTAGAGATTTGGTGCATTAACAGCATGGCAGTAAGTGTAGTGACCTACATGCAGACACGGTACTGGAAAAGTTGCTGAGAGTTCTACATCCAGATCAAAAGGTAGTGGGAAGAGAGAAGACAATGGGCCTGGCTTGAGTTTTATTTGAAACCCCAAAGCTTACTTCCAGTGACACACTTTGTTCAACTAGGCCACACCTCCTAAAAGGTCACACCACTCACTGACGACCAAGCTTTCAAATATATGACTTAGTCACGTGTTTATTAGTTTGATTTTTGCTTTGGTACTCATAGGGTTTAACGAGAGCTGTTCATGTGAGCATGTGACACTCAGATAACTCCATAGTGGCTATATCACTGAAGACTATAACTTCATGTCTTCCAGAAGCCATAGCTCCCCTCTGTGTTAAGTATGGCTCCGTCAGCCCATGTCCCATTTAAATTATTACTACTGGCATTTGGGAACCACAAATATTGAAAAGTCTCTTCCTTTTTTTTCATAGTATCTTAGAATTTATTGTTTGTTGTAAATATTAGGACTATGGACATAGTGTAAATGAAACTGTTATTGATTTAGAATTTACTGTTTCAGGATTCTATACGCTTGATCCAGAATCCCCTTTTAAAAAATTGTTTGACATGCTATCTAAATCTTCAAAATAGGTGTCATAAACTGAAAAGGATAGAAAAGGTTGGATTTTGTGTCAAATAATTTTAGTGAAATTCATAATTACTCTTCTATTACAAGATAATTTGGAGCTTCTGTTTATATGTTGAAATAAGCATGATATTTGTTTCAGTTGACAAACTTAAAGAAATTAAGTTTGTTGATGGTTTTATGACCACGAATTGATGACATGAATATTATATGCAATAATAAATTAACATAGGTCTAGAAGTGTTAGGTGATCAGTCAGTATTATTGACATATTCTATTTGTGCACACAGATGCACAAGAGATGAGGATTGATAAATCTCCATTCATTGACTTCACTAATTGTCTTTAACAGAAATTTTTTTTCCACATGAATAAATTTGTTGGGAAATTATTGCCTCTTGTAACTGTGTAGTAATAATTGACTAATAAGTTTATTTAAAAATAAATTGAGTTATTTTGAGATAATAGTAAATAGTGATAAGAACTAAGATAACAATTGGGTGATTTATTATGACAGCATAATGTGATAAGGAAGACATAAACTGAGGACTTTTAAGAACACTTGTTTGCCATTCGTTGCTAGTATGAGTGTGCATTTATTTGTGTATGTCACTAAACATTTTTCTTATTTAATTTTAGCTATGACAGTGATAGCTGGTGCCCACCATTACCGGTGCAAACATACTTGCATCAGGGTATGGAAGATGAGCTGGAAGAAGATGAGGATCGGGTCCCAACACCTCCTGTTCGTGGTGTGGCCTCTTCACCTGCTATCTCCTTTGGACAGCAGTCCACTGCCACTCTTACTCCATCCCCACGGGAAGAGATGCAACCCATGCTGCAAGCTCACTTGGATGAGTTAACAAGGGCCTATCAATTTGATATAGCAAAACAAACATGGTAAATATCCTCCGTAAGGCAAAGGCCCTGTACTTTCTACTTATGGAGATGTTCTTGCTTATATATTAAGTAGAGATGCTCATAAATCTATGTGAGTGGGATGAAAATTGATTTTGAATATGTGCTAATCATCTATATTAAGAAACTGGTGACAGAAACTTAAACTGGCCAACATCACACAGCTAGCTAGAGAAGTGAATGGAGCAGGGACTGAGACCAAGTGTTTGTTTTGGTGACACCAGAATCTTTTCTCATTCACAGATTAGCATTGATTAGTTTATCCTTGAACTCATTTTTAATTCTGCAATAAAGAACTCCTTTTAAATTCTTCAAAGTGCCTGTCATTAATTCTGTATGTGGTTGTAAATATGTAAATACTTGCTTCTGAGAATTATTATGGTCAGCGTCAGTTATTAAAAGACTTTGTTTGGGCTGAATTAAGTGGATTAGAAAATAATAAAAATAAAAATTATAAATGCTTCAACAGAAATCAAGAACACATTAAGATTTTTGTAAAATAAATAAAAAAAATTCATAAATCACGTATGGAAGTGTTTCAGATGTTCTGCAAAAATGTGCGAACATAGAAATAGGACCAAGCCTCAAAATTTTTAGAGAGTTTGGTTTTTCTGAAATACTGATTTATGTTTCAGCATATATGACCTACTAGAAAGTGTCTTCCACTGACTTACATCACACATGAAATCAGATGAAAGACTTTGCATTTTTGGAAAGCTCTACCGACTGAAATATATTCATAATTAAATAGCCATCATCTTCAATGTTTATGAGCTACTTTAAAAAAAAATACACCTAAGCATATAGTTGAGAAGATAACCAGATTAGGAACAACACTCCAGGCTGGCACAAACATGTTCTTTGTTGTGGAACAGAAGACCTTTATTAGTTTTCACAATCATCAGATATATTCTCAATAGTCATAGATGCTTACTATTAACCATATTGTTGTTTTACATAAAGCTGCTTTATACAAAATATCACTTAGTTCAAAACAATTGTGTATAGACTCAGGAAGTCATGCAGCCTTGCCTCTTTTATTTTAAATGCACATGCTAATTCATATTAGAATCACCTGGAAAAATTTCACATACTCAGATAGGAAACCTAGATCTTACTTCCAAGTGTATTCTGCTTCCTTAGTCTGAGATTCCAGTGAGGAATTCCACAAAAATGGATGTATCTAACCAGTTTTGTGACCTGTGGAAATTTGTCCTTTATACATTCAGTTCTCCCATGTGAAAAATTATAGTGATACTACTAATTGGCTTCTATTCAAATTTAAAAGGAACCCTCCCAACAATACCTTAAATTATGATTAGGTATATGATCAGGAAGCCCCCCAAAATCACACTGCAGTTTTAGAACACGCTAAAAGAGTTTAAAGAATTCACTGGATCATCTATATACAAAGTTACAGATTATTCTCAAAAAACACTATGGTTTAAAATAAGCTAAGGAAAGAGATGTGGAGCAAACTACTGAAGAATTCCAAAAGCAGAGATCTCCCCATTTTCTTCCATTGGAGTCCCAGGTAGCTCAGTTTACCTGCATTAGCAAGATTAAGTGATGATAACCAACCCGTTGATATACATGGGGACAGAGCTAGAGACATTCCCTTAGGTCTATTAAGGTTGAATACATTCGTGACTGACCTTAATAGTCAGCCCATTGAGAGATGAAACTATGACTTTGTGACTAAAAGCCCTTTGATGATTTGTCCTGTTAAATATTGTGTAGACCAGGGCTTCCAGTTCTACAGTCACTGTATCAGAAAGAACACACTACCTCCAGGTTTAAAAGGAAAATATCTACCTTTTTTAGGGGGGGGTTGAATTGAAGCTCTTTATTATGCTTTGTGATTTTTTGATATGTAAATGTGTTTGCACACTTTGTGATTCTTGAGAAACTACCTGTCTATTTCTAATCTCTAATGTTTAGATGCAGTTGGATTTTCACTTAAGTTGAGCACTGATGTCTTTTTCACACTTAAAGTCTCCCATTTAGTAATTGCCTCATAGATATCTCCTGAATTGGTGAATAGGCTTTTCCATATCTTCTACCTACCCATAGGCTAGACCATGTTTCTCTCCTTGAGTATGTTTCTACTTGATCCATCTGTATTCTGAATGCCACAGCTAGCTTTGCATAGAGGAATAGCAATTCATCCATTACCGAAAAAAGTACTGTGCTTGCTCTTCCGGTTTGGAAGGGTCCCTTGCTTTAGGATACACATCATATTCCCAGACATCTAAAGATAAAAGGTCTCAGCTTCACATCCAGGGTTGCTATTCATATTAACAGATAAAATGTACGAAGGACTTTCTATCTTTAGAAGATAGGTATAAATCCTGCATACCTTCACCTCATATTTGAGAATAATTTCTACTACTACTTAAATTAAGGAGTACCTTTTTTAATCCCTGTTTAATTTTTCCCATCAACACATGCCAAAAGTTATGTAGGATTACAGTATTCATCTATAATATTCCCAGCCCCTCAACAAATCTGTATCATCAACGTGAAATGAACCACATGTCTCATATTGCTTGACGTCCTCGTCTTCATTATATAGGATCCTGTTTCTCCAATTTACAAACTGTATGTGATACCACATATACAGCAAAGTGAGCTTGTCAATGCTCAATATTCAGTCTAAGAGAATTTTCCAACACTTGCTTTGCCTTCCTTTATAAGTTAATGGGTTGTGATGAACGCCAAGAAGTTTCCTTGAATACCTGCTCTATAACCTTAGAGATTAGATCTGCTCCCATTGAAGTGATATCCAATTCTTGGGAATTTATCCCTGAGAAATCTAGAATCCTGATAATTTTAGAGTTGCATATAAATTCACAAATGCAATTCACAGAAGACTCAACTATTTTTTTAAAAAAAATGGAACATTTTCTCAAAAGATTACAAATCAAAACAAAAACAGTCCTGCAATTTTTTTCAAAAGCCAACAGCAAAAATGCCTTGTTCTTATTAGCATGACTCTTAGGGAGTAGCCTTTTGACTACTTCTGTGGGAAATTTTTTTAAAACTCAGACTACAGCACATTTGCTTTTTGCTTACAATAACAACCATGAATTACTTCCATTGAGCATTTTACAGGTCAGAAATAATTCATTAACAGCCTCACAGCAAATCCAATGGATCCAAGGGTCCAGCTCTACATTGTGTAACTCATAAAATGTGCACCAAGAATTTTCTTAAGTATTTTCTAATAAAAGAATGACCATGCATGTTCTATTAATTCTGTAATCTTTGGATTAGGCATCTTTACCCACAAGGCTATTGAATATTCCTTATGTTCTAAATTCAATCCCTTAAGACTTTGTTGGTGAGACAGATTGCAAGTACCAATAGCACAAAGTATTTGTGTCTAATCTACACTGGGATCATGAAACATCTGCTCAGTTTAATATGATGGGAGTCACGCCAAAAGCATCCTCATAGGGCAGGAAGTGTGCCAGAGGCAGGGCTGGGCCAATCACACTTTCACCTGAGAAACGTTCTCCAACCAAGTTGCATAGATCAAAACACAAGGGAGATGGACTTCAACACTAACCTGAAAACTAAGTAGCTGTTGTTACGGCAAAATAAAAAATAAAAATATAAAAATAAAAAGACTTGGTTTTTAACAAATATTCTTATTCTCTTTTTAAGAATATATTGACACAAAAATTCTTGATACATATTTTCCTTCCTGTGTATTGCCTAGTTTGATTGTTTAATCAAAGGAAGAATGTCCATAGTTTATGTGGTTGCCCTTTGGTAGGGCATTTGCCCTTCCATATCTGTGTCCTTGCTGAAGTAGATGAAGTAGATGACCGTACTGTGGGTGAATAAGCATGGGAGACAGTGTGAGCTACCATCACTTGCCATTGAACAGCAATTACAATTTCGTTGAATGTTAACAGATTACTTTTTGTCTTTCATTTCTTTTTGTTTGAATTGCAGGCACATTCAGAGCAATACTCCACCTCCACAACCCCCAGTTCCACCATTAGGTTATGTGTCCGGAGCCTTGATTTCTGATTTGGAGACAGATGTTCCAGATGAGGATGCTGATGATGAAGAGGAACCATTAGAAATTCCTAGGCCCCTCAGAGCACTAGACCAGACACCTGGATCCAGTATGGACAATCTAGACAGCTCTGTCACAGGTAACAAGAATGAGAATAAGTGACCTATTTGCAACATCAAAATGCATCATAAATCAAATGCTTCCTTATGTAAGATTTATTCCACTCCATCTATTTTTGTAACATTTTAAATATGATAATGTTAAACACCAAATTCAAAAAGGATTTAGAAATACTTTTGCTTTGCTGCTTAAATGATAAGGAAATTCATGAATTTTAAAAAGCTTTAAAGACATGAAGGAAAACTCAATTATATCCCGGGCTTTCAAGAAAAGTTCACTCTGCTAGAGAACCAAGTCTGTTACATGAAAAAGCTTTACTTTTAGAAATGATATAATTTGTATATTGGGAGCAACATACAAAGTGAATGAGATCTTAAAACGCTCCTTGATATTTTACCCTGTAAAAACATTCACTGGTGAAAATAAGCGAGTCTTCAGAAGGAGCCTCTCTTAGGTTACACACGGTATTATATTTTTGGAGTGGAAACATGCATAGTGAGATAAGCAGTACATTTATGCATTTCACATTGCTGAATATAATCACCAGTCCTCTGCCAAGAAGTGTAATTATTTTGACTGTTTATTGCTTAGGCTTCCTTTTTTTTTTCTCGTTCACTAAGCAGACTTCTGTTGGTGCATGACTAGGATGACTCTAAGAACTAAGCAATAGCCTATTTCCCAGGATTTAAAATTGTCCAAATGAAATCCCTTATATACACAAAGAAAGTAGCAAAAGACAAACTTCAGTCTTTCTATCCCTTAGTTATCTACCTCTGAATTCACAAACATGTCTCTTACTGGACATAGCTACTAACAAACTGAAATCTATCTCTGCATTCTCTTGGGTCATCCTAGACAAGCTATATCTACATTCACTTAGATAATTCCTTCCCTCCCATAATGCTTCTTATCAGAATTTCCCTGATTCTGTGTGTGCTCTGAGAGTTTCTTAATCTCTACAGTATTGGAGCTGCCTGATAGATCTACAAGCACTGCTGGACCATGGTATATGATAGTACAGAGGACACATCAGCGCCTCTGCCTTCTCTTTGGTGATTCTAGGCATCTGAGACATGAATCTAATTTTCAGTGTTTCCTCTTGCCTGGAGGCTGAGCTGATTATCAAGCTAATTAAGATTTTAAAACCACAGATATATTGCGATGATTGGAAACATAGATCCAGCTGAAGGTGACAGGGCAAAAGTTAAAACTTTTGCCTTCTGTGAGCTCTGACTTATTAGTACACTATTATGTTAAGCCTCTTTGTCTGAGTTTCTAGCATAATCTACTTTAGGGCAAAATTCAAAATCTTTGCATATTTCACTAGTAATACCAAACTGTTTCCCATTAAGAATGCAATGAAAGTTCCAACAAAAATGGCAGAAGTCGGCTATAGCCTCTGAAGTTCTATATTAAATATTATAATCCCTCAGACAATATATACCTCTCTAACTTAGCAAAACACTACTTTACCCCTTTGCAAGCTCAACTGTTAAGAACTAATTAGGGTATCTTAGGCAATGGTGGTCAAGCAATGTGCATTTCTCCTGTAGCTAATTCCATGTTTGTGCCAAAGCTTGCATTGCTAAGAAAACAAAATTTCTTTTGATACATATGTATGCTGCTAATCATTGCCGTATGTTAAAAAAAAATCAGGCCACTTAGGTATCCATTCTTCCACAATTAATGTGTCCTGAAAATACATCTTCTTAGTAAAGTTGTGCCTTTCACTACAGTAGATAAATTAAAACTTCCATTGTCTTGTCTTTCCTTCTACTAGAAACTCAAAGAATATTTAATCAAAGGTTTAATTTCCCTTCTGGTCCAGTAGTTCTCAACCTTCATAATGCTCTGATCCTTTAATATAGTTTCTCATGTTATAGTGACCCCAACTATAAAATTACCATTTTTATTTCATAGCTGTATTTTTGCTCTTGTTGTGAATTGTAGTATACATATATGTGTTTTCTGATGAGCTTAGGTGACCCACGTGAAAAGGTCATTTGACCCTAAAGGGATTGAGAACTACTGTTCTAGTCTCTGTCTGTCTCTATCTCTCTCTGTCTCTCTGTCTGTCTGTCTGTCTGTCTGTCTCTGTGTCTCTGTCTGTCTCTGTGTCTCTGTCTCTGTCTCTCTCTCTCTCTCTCTCTCTCTCTCTCTATTACAGAGTTTGTATATTAACACAGTAGACTGAACTTATTACATTGAGTCTGAGAGCATGAAATGTGTGTATATGTATATTAGATCATAAGCTCTCATGGAACGTGTATGAGTCAGGTAGAGAGTATATGTGCACAGGAAGTGAGTTGTATATATTGGGAGGAGTGAGCACACTAGAAAGTGCATAGGCATGTATATAATAGAGAATGTGAGTACATAAATTCCTGTGAGTGTACAAATCAAAGGAGGAACTATAGAAAGAATATGCTAACATATACATGGGATGTATATGTGTCAATTAACTTGTGAGCTGGCTGAGAGAGTGCAGGGGAGGAAGCTGCAGATGCACATGCATTTTGGGTATTTGCCCAGAGGTTCCTGTATACATTAATACTGATGGTCCCTCTGCCTTGTGCAGGCACTACACCCAGATGGTGCACAGGCATGCATTCAGGCAAAATATCTATACATATAAACACATACAAATAAATAAATACAATTATTATAAAAACAGAACTCTTTTGTTTGTGAAGAAATACATTAGACAGAATAGTTTGAGAAAAATTTAACAATCTATGGTGCTATTTAAATTCTGAAATGTATATTCATTTAAGAAAAAGGTCAGGAGAAGAAATTATCAATAGTTCTAAATTTTATGAGTTTTTTTTTAAATGTGTTGACAAACATATTGCTTTCAATAATTATTGCCAAAACAAGCACTTATTTCTGTGTCCTTATATGTATCACTGGATTCGGAATTTAGATAAAATCATTATTATTATTCTTATCATTATTATTATTATTATTTAATGATTTTTTAACCACCTTTTATTTTCTTTTTGAGATAGGTTCTTACTATGTAGCCTTGCTTTCTTGGAACTTACTGTGTAGACCAATATGAGTTCTGCAGGCTGTAATTATAGATGGGCACTACTAAACTCTGACTGGTTTTTCACATTTTAAAAACATAGCAAGAGAACAAGAAATAAACAAAAGGAAGGAAAGATGAAGGATGGAGGGAAAGAATTCTCAGAGGAAAGAGGGAAACAGAGAGGAAAGATAAAAAGAATGCAGGACTGAGGTTTCAAACTCTAGAGTCCTTAGGATCTGGCACTTTGCAATTGTGTCTTGCCCTCTGTTCTTAAGATTAACCCTAGATTAGTTCACTTAACCTTTAAAACTATGATTGCAAATGCCCTAACTTTAAGGATGAAGAAGAAATTTATTGCAGATTATTTCAATCATACAACTTCATTTAGTTTGAATATATACTACCACTTAATATATAATATATATTATATTGTATATATATATATATATATATATATATTGGTAAATATATATGCACACATGCCAGCATTATGGTTTTTTTATAGATAGGTAGATAGATAGATAGATAGATAGATAGATAGATAGATAGATAATTTCTTTAATAATCCACATAAAATTATATAGATACATTAATCCTTATTTAAAATCATGATAGGAGTTTTCAGATGTGACATGTATTTAATACACATTTGGTTCTACGTTCAGTTACAGTGGACTGTTGAAATTTAACTGCCAGTATTTTTTAAAGATATATTATTTTATTATATTTTTGGTAACCCATACTTGTAAATTATCACGAACACCTATTTGTCACAAAGCACAAAAATAGGTTTAGCATTGCAGTACACATCTTGTTATGGATTGGACAATAAACACTGAAAAGTTTCAACATTCAAAACTAAGTTAGTGAGATTTCTACCTAAACGGCAATACACCGTCACAAGGTAACAGAGAGAGACAGGATTCATCATTTTATTTTCCCCAACCTCATTCTGGATTTAATGATGATGCCATGAAAAAGAAAGTTCTAGAAGGTAGACTGGAGAGAGATGTGAAAAAGGGTGTCCTTAACATACAGTTGAGATTCTATCTGCCTCTGTGCCACAACTAAGGTCAATAATGACACTATTAAGTGGGCGAGAGGTTGTCTTGGATGTTGGAGAACACATGCACATAGGGACTAAAATGGAATTTTAGGACTATTTTCTTTTTTGGTTTTAGATAGTTTAATTTTTTTAGAACCGCCACAAAAGACCAGTATTTTAAAAATTATCTATTTGCTACACAGGTGTTTAGAAAATGGTCCATTATATTTTTCATTTGAGGATTTCCCTTGGTTACAAAATAAAATAATTTTAGCATGAATAGAAATTTCTAGTAAATGTTACAAATGAGAAATTCATTGCCTTATGTTCCTTTAGCAGGTCTAGGATCTTTAAGACAAATTAGATGCCAAATGATGTTTATCTGAGTGAAACACATTAATGGATGTTATATAACAAAGGAAAAATTTTCTACTTGTTTGTTTTGCTTTTCCTATATGTTATATATCTGTGCACATATACATGTATGTACATATGTGAACACAAAATTATACACACACAGGGAGAAAAAATGGGTAGTTTTGTTGCTCATTCAAATATTTGGAATATCCAAAGCATTTTACATATATTTCCCTTTTTGTTCTACATCTAGTAAAGGTCAATATTTGGACTGGTTTAACCAAAGATAATTATAGCAGAAGATTTGACTTAGCAAGTACGTAGGCAAGCAGTGGATTAAATATTGGCTCAAAAACATGGGGGGCTGTAAGTTTTTGTAGCTCATAAAAATGGTAATGCAACAATTAGCAAGGTCATATTATAGAGCACAGACTTTACTCTAGCTTAATGGATCTAAGGATAAGCATTTATCAGCAAGAAAGGATTTAGCATAAATTGACATGTAAATGAATTGACGACTGATCATAAATTAATTTTAGTGCTGAAGATGTAATAGAGACACAGCAAGATGCCACTTTATCATGGC